TAGAACTCCAATATGCGGAAAGTTCCAGCATAATATACTGGAGATTGGAGCACCTGTGTATAAACTTCCAGCATATTATGCTGGACCAGTGTATTATGCTGGAACTCTAGTATATTATGATGGAGTTCCAGTATAATATACTAGAACTCCAGTATAATATACTAGAAGTTACATGTAAAAAATTCAAACTCTAGAATATTATGTTGGAATATTTTTCGGATTTTGAACAGTTTTTTCGTTCAGATTTATCTTTACACAAACAACAACAACAACAACAACCCAGAAAAATCCCACTAATGGGGTCTGGGGAGGGTAGTGTGTACGCAGACCTTACACATACCCCGAAGGAGTAGAGAGGCTGTTTCCGAAAGACCCTTGGCTTAAAACAAAAAGACAAAAGGGGCAAAAGGGGGTAAAAAGGGAGACAATATTAGTATCACAACAACAATCATAGGATAAATAGGAACACCATGAAATCCAGAAGAAAGATGCAAAGTAAAGGGAGACAATATTAGTAAATATTAGTATCACCACAACAGTCATAAGAAAAATAGGAACATCATGAAATCTAGAAGAAAGATGTAAAGCAAAAGCGATAGCTAGTAAATAGGACTTGCACTGAAAAGCGAAATAGTAAGCCATAATATTCCCACTAGTTATCTTAGACAAAAACCCTACATGGCTAGTCCCACCATGTTACGAAGTAAGGCACGACTCAACTACCTCCTAACCTACAACCCTAATACTCGACNAAATCTGAAGCATCGCCATATCCTGCCTGATCACCTCTCCCCAATACTTCTTAGGCCACCCTCTACCTCTTCTCGTGCCCTCCGTAACCAGCTGCTCACACCTCCGTACCAGAGCATCTGGACTTCTCCTCTGAACATGTCCGAACCATCTAAGCCTCGCTTCCCGCATCTTGTCATCAATGGAAGCCACATGCACCTTCTCCCAGATATCATCATTCCTAATCTTATCTATCTTAGTGTGCCCGCACATCCACCGCAACATCCTCATTTCTGCTACTTTCATCTTCTGGATATGTGAGTTCTTAACGGGCCAACACTCAGCCCCATACATCATGGCCGGTCTAACCACCGCTTTATAAAACTTACCTTTGAGTAACGGTGGCACAAAAAATAACTAAATTTCGATTACTTTTGAAACTGTGATTATTTTTCAATTACCACTTGTAAATCTGGCTATTTTGAATTTCACCCATTATATTATATACTCTTTATGTTTTAATTTAGATGAATTTGTTTGACTCGTCACGGAGTTTAAGAAAAAAAGACTTTTAAAACTTGTGTCTTAAAAGCTTAAGGGGTAAAAGGATTTACAACTAGTATGATTTCTGCCAAGAAGATTACATCTGATATGAAAATCAAACCCGAACTTTGTAAGTAACGTGTAATATATAAAAAAAAAATTGACGTGAATATTGATATTGAAATCTTTTGAAGAGTCCTTCAGAGTTAATTACTATTTCTACATAGTAGACAAGACTATTTTTTTCACTTCAAAATAGATTTGAACAATTCGAAGCATATGAAAAAAAATTATTTTCTATTTAGCGTAAAAAACTGAGATCACTAGATAATGAAAATTTGAAAAAAATACTGCCTTAATCTTGAGTGTTCCTTAAAGCACAATAATCAATCTGATATTGATGGTTTAGATTTATTTTTTGAATTAAAAGTGTTAAGGAAAATAGTACAATTAGAATATAATAGTTTTGAAGAGGAGCCTTGGCGTAACTGGTAAAGTTGCTGCCATGTGACCAGGAGGTCACGGGTTCGAGCCGTGGAAACAGCCTCTTGCAAAAATGCAGGGTAAGGTTGCGTACAATAGATCCTTATGGTCTGGCCCTTCCCCGGACCCCGCGCATAGCGGGAGCTTAGTGCACCGGACTGCCCTTTTAGAAGATAATAGTTTAATTGATATACTCAATCAAATAAAAAGATTTGATTCTTTTTCAAATGTCTATATTGCTTATAGAATAATGTTAATAACTCATGTTACCGTTACTTCAGCAGAAAGAAATTTTTCGAAATTAAAATTGATAAAATCTTAACTAAGCTCAATAATGTCTGAAGAGAGGTTAAATAAATTAACTATATTGTCAATTGAGAAAGAATTATTAGAAAAAAAATTGATTATAAAAAAATTATTAATAACTTTGCATCTAAAAAAAATTTAAAAAATGGACTTCAAATTAAAAAACAAAATTTTAAAAAATTAAGGTCCCTCATAAAATTTGACTTTAGGCCACAAAATTGGTCGGACCGCCCCGGGTGTTGTTGAAAGAACCAGCCTTTGCATTTCAGACCAACAATTTAATTCAACTAAAGTAAATCAGTTGACTAGACACTAGACACTAGACACTTAGACACTTAGACACTAACTCCTTGTATATCGTCTTCAAAATATTTTTCAAAGAATCATCACGAATGTGTCGGAACTTTAGAAAATTTATGTAAAGAATTAAATAAGTTATAATTATTCTGAAAAGAAATTTTCAAAAGAATGTATTGGACATACATGAATAAATACTATGTGTGAACCAAACCTTACACTGCAATAAGTGAAAATAGCACGGGTTAGCCAGTTTGCAGACTAGTAATTGAAAAATAGTCAACGTTTGCAAAGTCACTAAAAAATAGCCATTACTTTGCTGAAACACGGAAAATTCCAGCATAATATGCTGGATTATGGAACTCTTCCATATAAACTTCAGCATAATATGCTATAATATGGAGCTCCTATTATGTTGGAACTCCGGCACATTATGAAATTCCAGCACATTATACTGGAATATTTTTAGCTTTTAAAGAGTATTTTTATTCAGATTTTATCTTTATATGAAAAAATGACTAAATTTTGATTACTTTTGAAATTGTGGCTATTTTTTAATTATCATATGTAAATCCGGCAATTTCTGATTCCCCCTGCAATAATTATACAAATCCGAACATAGTTCAAGAAAATTCGGTTGCTTCTTTAATCTTTATTTTTCCTCTCATTTTTTTCCTAGATTTACCAATTACTATTTTTTTTTAATTCTCATACCAATTTTTACTAATTCAATCACCTTCGTCTTCAACCATTCAACAATATGCTCTCGTTTCATTTCCATGCATGCAAAATAATTTCCCATTTCTCTCTAAAATATATTTTTTCTCTAGAATGCTATTTTCCCTTTGATTGAATTCTTTTTCTCCATCTTCTCTCTTTTGAGGTTCTTGGAATTTTCCATTACAAAATTAAAAGGATGGGACAACAGACGTTGATTTATAGCTTCGTCGCGAGGGGAACGGTAATTCTGGCCGAGTACAGCGAATTCACAGGAAATTTTAATAGCATAGCCTCTCAATGCCTGCAAAAACTGCCTGCATCTAATAACAAATTCTCATATAATTGTGATGGTCACACCTTCAATTTCCTCTCCGACAATGGATTCAGTCAGTTTCATTTCATTTCATTTCTATTCATAATACCATTTTTCTTTTTCTTTTCTTGGATCTATTTATTTGATCATTTTGATTGTCTAGCGTTAATTATTGAATTACATGTACATAATGAGCTTTCTTTTATGCATGCCAAATTGCCAATGTGTTGGAAGTGTCGAACAATCAACCATAATTGGAGATATTACAATAAGAAAAAAAAATTATGACATTTAATTTGTAAAACATAATGTTGGTAGATTGAGGTTTGCATTAAAGATTATGAGTTTTTGTTTGGGTTATTTGTTGCTAAAAAGGATTTTACATATCAAGGATGTGGATTATACAATGCACCCTGAACAGATGACCTTTTGCTATTTCCATCCCCTTTCTGGTTCATTTGCCTTCTTATGTGTGAAAAAAAATCTACCAGGTCATTTTGGGTTTCAAGCAACGGTAGACGACATGATTTGAAAGGTTTTAATTGAATTTCTTTTGACAGAAAACTATATTGTGCAAATAGAGTAAGAACATATTTTTTATATATATATAAATTATTGAATTTCCTTGACGTAAGGAAAATTTTTAGCGAGCGAGAAGTGTGGTTCAAAAATTTCTTCTTATCATAGGTTAAATCGTATCTTAGGTGTGACTTCTTGCATTTCTTTGAATCTCCTTGTTAGAACTCTTGGCTCCACCGCGGGTTTCAAGAATCATCATAGACTAGCAGGCATCTTGTGTTCACGCAGGGTTCGGAGAAAGGCCATACCCAAGGGGTCTGATGTAGACATCCTAATGGTCTAACCTAATGCAAACATTAGTGGCTGCTTCCACGACTTGAACCCGTAACCTATAAGTCACACGGAGATAATTTTACTATTGCTCCGTAGCTCCCCTTCTAAGGATCCTCATAGACTATTCATTTCATTCTCATAAAATGGCCAACATTAGTTCTTAGATGGGGTATTCTCCTTTTCTCAATGTTTGTTAAAATATTTGTTACAAACTTGACCTATTAAATACTATCTTAATCATTGAACCTCTTTTACTTTTGATACTGCAGCCTACTGCGTGGTGGCTACTGAATCTGCAGGTAGGGAAATTCCCATTGCCTTCTTGGATCGTGTAAAGGATGATTTTAGCAAAAGATATGCTGGAGGAAAAGCTGCAACTGCTAGTGCTAAAAGCCTGAATAGAGAATTTGGGTAACTTTCTTTGTCAATTATAATTAACATATACACTATCTTTGTACATGAATTACCAAACAATTGTTTTCACACGCTATTGTAGGTCAAAATTAAAGGAACACATGAAATACTGTGTTGATCATCCTGAAGAAATCAGTAAGCTTTCTAAGGTCAAGGCTCAAGTTTCTGAAGTCAAGGGAGTGATGATGGAAAACATTGAGAAGGTAAATTTTTTATCTTAGGTTAAAGTTTATTCAAAACAAACTTTGAACAGGAGGAGTCACATCTGATAACATGGGTGTTATCCGGCACAGCTTTGTCAACATTCAACAAGTTATATTGAAAAAAATATGCATCTATGTAATAGAGAAGAAAAAAATGTAAACATTAATTCGGGCAAGAAGTAAAGCTTTAGAACCTCTTCTGCCCCATAACTGAAAAAACATACAAGTTAAGTTGCGATAATAGGCTGACAGCAATAACAACCCAGTGTATTCCCACAAGCGGGTTCTGAGGAGGATAGGATGTATGCAACCTTACCCCTACCCCGGAAGGGTAGAGGCTATTTTCGATAGACCATTAGCTAAAGAAAAGATGAAAGAAGCACTGATATTTAGAAAACTGAAACCAAGATAGTAAAACAAACGATGAAAGAAGTACTAATAGCAAGTAATAACAATACAAGGTTAAAATGATACCATATGCTACTAATACTATTGAACTAAGGAAGGCAAAGGGAAACACTCGACTACCTACTAACCTTCTGACAACACTTGTGTAAAATTCTGCATACGCCATTGACATGGAGAATCTTCATGTTTTGTAGTGCTTTATTACTGAATTCAACATTGAATGTATTCTGAATTTGCTCAAGATTTTTGTCTGATATCAGGTTCTTGACCGTGGTGAGAAGATTGAGCTTCTAGTCGATAAAACAGAGAATCTTCGATCACAGGTCAGCTTAATGCATCATGAATATGTTTTGAGCAACTTTAACTGAATGATTGATGTGTCCATTTTCCTATTTCATTCCTTTAATTTTTATAAGCAAAAATTGTTTCATGGTTTGTGCAATGGTTGATAATCTGTTATTTGCGATTTTCAGGCTCAGGACTTCAGACAACAGGGGACCAAGATAAGAAGGAAGATGTGGTATGAAAATATGAAGATAAAACTTATTGTTTTGGCTATCATCATAATCATCATTCTCATTATCATTTTATCTGTCTGCCCGGGCTTCAAATGCACTTGACTTGCATTAGACTACCTCTACCCCGAGGTTCTTACCTTCAATATATACCCTTATTCATGCTTGCTTGATCCATTTTTGATGTTAAACCTACCAATCAGTCAGAGCGTTTTTCTTTCCAAAGGCGAATTCAAGATCTGAAATCACTGAATTCAGAATGAACATGATCTTATTATTTGTATACATTATTTATTTATTTATTTTTTGTATTGTATACATAGTTTGAGCTGAAAGCAATAGGTTCAGTTGAACTCATAGAACCCGTCCTAAAATCTGACTATGTTTCTTTCAAATGGCAATTAGCTCATGAGAAGCTGGATTGGCCTGTATTTTGATATAGATGAATAGGTAATCAGGTTTAGTTTATTACCTTTCTTTATCTTTGGGAGTTGTCTCTAATTCTTTTTCCCAGTTTGTCCTATTGATGTTTTCACAACATGATACTGTAAATATTTGTTTAGCTTATGATATATGCGACTTTGATAGCTACAAAACAAAAAGTAGAACTCCATAGCTGTGATGTTAGAAGATGGTCCTCTAAAATGTCAGTAAGGTTTTGGAATTTCAAGGAAATATTACAGAATATAGTTACTTCTAATCATTTATGGTTGAATCTTGTTTTCTCTTTGAAATAATAGTTTCTAGTTTATTATCTCAAATATTCAACCTGATAATCTCAACTGGTAAACTCCACATATCTAAAGAGTTAGTAAAGGGATGTACCTGATTATCATTTGGCTTCCACCTAAATGAATCCTTGAGAGTATGCTTGTGTTCTCATAGCAAACCTTCTGCAACTTAGAATGATTCTGAAACAGAGTACTGTTACAAGCATGCCAATTAGACCACAAAAGCATGATCACAAGAACTTAGTAAAAAGGGAAGCCCGGTGCACTAAACTCCCGCTATGCGCGGGGTCCGGAGAAGGGCCGGACCACAAGGGTCTATTGTACGCAGCCTTACCCTGCATTTCTGCAAGAGACTGTTTTCACGGCTCGAACCCGTGACCTCCTGGTCACATGGCAGTAACTTTACCAGTTACGCCAAAGATCACAAGAACCTAGTAAAGGACAGAAAAGAACTCAATTTCCTTTCGGAAAAAGTATAAGAACCTGAGAGAAAGTGTCCCAATGCCTCAATAAACTTGTAAAATAATAAACAGTATGCAACAGATTCCTGCTTCCTCCTTCATTATTAGCGCGACCTTAGGCCATTAGGAGTCCACTCAAAGTTGTGAATCAAAAGATAAACTAGTAAGTGCTTCCGTAATGTTGGCCTAAATTGACCTCCAGCAGTTAGTCCTCAAAGCTCAAGTGCTGCATTTCGACTTAATGATATGCAGCTTTGCATAATCAGAAGCAGCCCCGGGTGGATATTAGAAACCACACCAAGGGAAATGTTAGAGAAACATGTTCCTTCAAGTCAATATGGAGAATCTACACAGGAAAATATGAGTTAATATGTCTCTAGCCAAATGATCTAGTAGGAATTGAACCAACAGTCATTTAAGATCATCAAATTACATGGAATTTGATCTCCTCTCTTTCTTGAAAATGCTAGATAAACAAATTTATAGAACAAATATATTAGCAGCAGGAGCTGGCACAAAGAGTGTAAGTCAAGGCATAAAAGGGAAGAGTGTAAGTCAAGGCATAACTTTATGGTTTCCTACAATAACCTTATTTAACTTTCATTCTAGCATAGAGAAGGTTAAGTTATTCCCAAAATTGCGGGGAGTAAAAAGAGTTGAGCATAACAGAGTGCAGAAGTTGATGCTACAAACAGGTGGCATATTTCATTTATAATCATAAGAAGATATTGAGGTTTTTACACACATCTACTCACTCTGTATTGTACATTAAAATAGTGAATCAACTCTATGGATAACTCGGGGTTGACCATTTTGTGAGAAGGGCCATATTTAGAAGAACATTATATCAATCCAGAAAAGAGCGACTCTTAGCAAGGCATGGTAAGAGGATTCTTCTCTTCTTCATTCTGGTCGAAACTCCATTCCTTGAACAATAAGGCCACCTTTAGCAAAGAGACGCCTAATCTCCATCAATCTCGCTTCAACATCTCCATCTTCTCCAGCATCATTGAAAAAATTTCCCATTTCTATTTCCATCCATCCATCAACTCTTCTCTTGGATCGCTTCTCACTAGGCCCTTCTCGTCTGGAAAGACTAACAACACTTGCTCGTTCCTCAGCTTCATTGTTACTCTCACGACCAACAAATCTAACAAATGCATTAGCAGTTTCAAGGCCATAAAATCCGTTTGCCAATTTGAACACCAAATAAACAGCGTATTTGGTTCTTTTTGACAGTATTCCAGTTTCAATCTTGCCTCGCATATCAAGCCAACAAACAAACCGAAGATTAGCCACTTCCGAGAATCTGCAAAAATTTATAGTGATTAATGTTTATGTTTAAGTTAAGTAATTTCTTTCTAAATTACACAGGAAAGGAACAGAGAAAATACAAAACCTGGAGTCTGGGTGAGATGACCATCCCCAATAATGTGGTGTATCACCCCATGAAATAACAAGCTCCCTTGCTGCAACCATAAAACATTTCTTCCCGGTCTTCTTATCCAATGAAAAACTCTATTTAACAAATAAAACCATGATACACAAAACATCAGGAATAAAAAAGTAAAACATTTAAAAATAATAAAGGGTCTAGACTTTATCTAACTACATGAAAGGGAGTCCGGGACAAGACCATTAAAAACCCGTTATGGACGGGTCAGGTCGGGCTGGGACGGTCACAGGCTGACCCTGCCCAACTTGACACGACTAGCTACAAGCGCCTGCCCATTTCCACCCATACACTGTACGCATCTATATATTAGGGCCCTTTTTCATTGACAATTAGCTGAATTTTTCTTGTATTCGTGAATATAGTCACATTTACACGATAATCCAATGAAAAACTCTATTTAACAAATAAAACCATGATACACAAAACATCAGGAATAAAAAAACAAAACATTTAAAAATAATAAAGGGTCTAGACTTTATCTAACTACATGAAAGGGAATCCGGGACAAGACCATTAAACACCCGTTATGGACGGGTCAGGTCAGGCTGGGACGGCCACAGGCTTACCCTGCCCAACTTGACATGACTAGCTACAAGCGCCTGCCCATTTCCACCCATACACTGTACGCATCCATATATTAGGGTCCTTTTTCATTGACAATTAGCTGAATTTTTCTTGTATTTGTGAATATAATCACATTTACACGATAATCCAATGAAAAACTCTATTTAACAAATAAAACCATGATACACAAAACATCAGGAATAAAAAATAAAACATTTAAAAATAATAAAGGGTCTAGACTTTATCTAACTACATGAAAGGGAGTCCGGGACAAGACCATTAAACACCCGTTATGGACGGGTCAGATCGGGCTGGGACGGTCACAGGTTGACCCTGCCCAACTTGACATGACTAGCTACAAGCGCCTGCCCATTTCCACCCATACACTGTACGCATCCATATAATAGGACCCTTTTTCATTGACAATTAGCTGAATTTTTCTTGTATTCGTGAATATAATCACATTTACACCTTAATAAAAACTTAAAAGGAAATAAATCGATATACTTTTGATCCCTTAGTTATTATTGAATGATGATTGTGGTCCTTGTGTTATCTAATTAAACACCACTTACCCTTTAGTTAAATAAATTTACACTTCAAGCGCAACAACAACAAAATAAAAACCCCAATGTAATCCAAATTTATACTTCAAGTCCATTTCCAAGAAATCTAACTTTGATTGTGAATACCATGTCATATGTCAAGCGAGAATTACTCTAGAAAATATTTTTCATGTTGTGATCCTTGTAAAACTGTATCAATCTCGGAAAACCATCAGTAGAAGTACTAATACAAACACATAAGTGGTATATTACACACTAATCACAAAGCTCATCGCTTAACAATCCGGCAATCTGAGACCAAAATAATAGTAGTACATATCAATCTATTACATATATTACTTGATCAGATTTTATAAAAGCCAAAAATTATTTGAAGAGTTTAAGTTGTATGCACTAACTGTATAAAAAATATTTTATACAATCAGGTCACTCGAAAGGTAATTACAAGTAACTTTATTTAATAGCATTAAGCAGTAACCTAAAATAAATGGTAAGTAACATTCTATAACATGTTAGATTATACTAGCACCAAAATTTATAAGTATATATATAACTTAAATCCTTATTCCTCCATTTATTTTAATTATCACTTCTTTCTAAATTTAAAAATAATTTAACTTAAACTTTCTATTTTACCTATTTTTATAGCCACAACGTTATAATATGATTAAAACTACAAGTTTCAATACTCTTATAACAAGATAAATTTCATGGCATATTTAAGACCACAACCTCCAAAATCTTTCATTTCTTTTTTAAATTCCTGTTCACTCAAATATGTTCAGGTAAATTGAAATGAAGAGAGTAATTACTCAGTAATTCAGGGATTAAAAACACAATCTTTTCTTAAAACACCAAACAAAGCAAAACAAAGGTTAGAGAGTTACCACTTTGCCGCCATCAGTGAGAATCGGGGAATCACAGAGACTAAAATAAAGCTCTTTTTTGGAAGGAGAAACTAAGAAAGAGTTTGAGCTAGAAATAATATGTTGATAATCAGAGGGCAAAAATTTCTCCCAAACGACGTCGGATTCAGCAGCAGACTTGAATCCGAGTGAGATTGCTGAGGAACTAGCAGCATCTTTAGGAGAAGTGAAGGAGAGAATTTCAGATATGCAACCTTCTGGTAATAAACGAAAATAATCCATTGGCAAAAATCAATTGATTAAAGTTGCTGAATTTTTGGACGGTATTTATAGAAAACGAAGTACAAGCTTTGGAAACTTACTCTCCACGTTGTTTTGTTCGTCTCAAGGCGTCAACAAGTGTATTGGATAAGTAATAGCTAAATGTTTGTTTTAATTATTATTTAAATTTTATTATAAAGTATACGTAACAATAGATTTAACGCTACCATATGAAATGTTCGATTTAACATGATTGCGTCATTATCTTTTATTTTCTTATTATCTTGTCATTCCTTATTATTAAATAATTTTATTTTATTATTTACTCTACCTATTTTTATAATAATTTTATCTTATATCATATTTTTTTATAATATTATAAATTTATTTTTCATATAATCGGTGCATGAAATCATGAAACGATGACAAATAATATAATATATCCAATTGTATACATCAAAAAGATACAATAAAATTTAATACTATACAATTGTGTAAATAATTTTTACTATCATGGCGTGTATTTGGATATATATTAGCGGAACAGCTTAGTCAAATGAGAAAGATTGTAACTATTGGCGGTTAACATAAAAATTTGAAAATAGTAAATTATAAGTTTCTTTTTTTTCAACATAAAAGTATACAGATCATATATCTTTTACATATCATATAATCCCCTTTTCAATATTGATGGAACATGATAGGGATTCATATTGTTCTTCATTTTTAAGTTTATAATCCCTCTGAAAAAATTGTTTTTCATTTTTAAGTTTATAATCTTTGCGGTAGCTTCATTAACATTATGTATCAAATAAAAGGTATGTCCAGGAAAATCACCTAGTTCTCCATAAATAATCAATTGAAATCCTAGAATTATTTATGTTAGATCAGCATATTTCTATGGAGGACCGATAAATACTTTTGCTACAAAAAAAATTGTAATAAGAAACATTCGATATTTCGCACTATGAATTTACATTGAAGAAGTTGATATAACATTCCAAACTCCAAATTTAGCATCATAACATTTAATTTTCTTGTGATTTATAATATTGTGATTATCTTAGTTACTTGAATTTTTTTTATAGTAATTATTTAACATATATATCAATAATAAAAATTAAAATCGATAATTTTCCCTCCTAATATACTATTTTATTTAATATTTTTTTGTGACTGATGAGTAATTTTAAAGTTAAATTATTTCTAAAATAAAAAATATATCATTTCCTTCGTATAGACTTGGGACAGAGATGGTATAATTTAACGTCACTAAAGCCTTTTGTCATCTCTTTCCTCTAAAACTGCGTCGTTTCAATTAGCAAAACCTTTCTCTAAACATTATTGAAACTGTAAAAAATGGGCGATCTTTTTATGCTGTCAGCAATTTCAAGGCCGCTCGAAACCTCCCAATTCAAAGCCAATTGGAGGTATGCTCACTATTATATATGTAGCTCCTTATTCTAGTATTTAATTTTTTAGAACTTGACATTAGATGTAATTTTTAATCCAATTTCTAAATTGTCATTCTTTTAGGGCTGAAGTGTTGACTAGAGTTAGTGAACAAGCTGATAAATTAGCTATAGTTAACTATGTAACTGTAGTTGAAGGTTAGTTAGTTAGTATAATATTAGAAGTTAGTATAGTATAGTACAATATAAATACATTGTAGATTGTACTCATTGTATAAACGATACACAGTATCATTTCTTCTTCTTCAGAATAACAAATTTATGTTTCTCTTGAGTGCTTCCTTTATTTGCATGTCTTCTTCCTCAAGTTCAATCCTTATATCCACGGTAGCTAACATGGTATCAGAGCTACCAGAGTATATCGAAGGAAGTTCTCAAGTCAGTCTCTACACTTGTTACTTCAATTTTGCAATTCTTCTGAAAAATTATCCAATTATAGCGTGTAGTAGAAAGTCTAGGGTTTACTCTTAAGAAGCAGCTGAAAATGGTGATTGGAGAAGAAACGGTAGGTGATACTTCATATCCAACAACTACAACCTCTGGTAATGTCAATTCCGGCACCGACGTAACTGCATTTCCCTCAATTGATCGCAATCACTCACTATTCCTTCAACCAACAGAGACTGCAGGTAGTACTCTGATCTCTCTTCGGCTTACTGGTTCAGATAACTACGCATTATGGAGTAGGTCTATGGGGATTGGATTGTTAGGGAAGAGCAAGTTAGGTTTTGTAGATAGTCGATTTCCTAAGTCCAAGTTTGAACCTGAACTTCATGACCAATGGGAGAAAGTGAATGATGTAGTTCTCTCATGGATAATGAATGCAGTAAGGCCAGGTTTACTTAGTAGTGTAGTATATGCCTCTAATGCTCACAAGGTATGGGAGGACTTAAAGGAGAGGTTCAACAAGGTGAATGGATCTAGGGTTCTGTATTTACATAGGGAGATTCATACTCTTACTCAACGTACCATGTCTGTTGTTTACTACTTTTCCAAATTGAGAGACCTTTGGGATGAATTTGATGCGTTAATGCCTTGTCCTGGCTGTCCTTGTCCAGAATCAAAGAAGTATGCTCAGCACTTTGAGTATCATAGGCTACTACAGTTTCTGATGGGATTAAATGAGTCATACTCACAGTCAAGGAGCCAAATTATAGTGATGTCTCCAATTCCTAGCATTAACAAAGCCTATTCTCTACTGATTGATCAAAAGAGTCAAAGGAATCCAACTAATTTTACTCAAACTACCCAAACTACTGAAGGCATAGAAGGAGATGTATTATATAATAATAAGAATCCAACAAATGCAGGTGAAAATTTCAAGTATAGAAAGAATCAGGTTCAGTGTGAATACTATCACTACAAGGGGCACACAAAGGAGAATTGCTACAAATTGCATGGCTATCCATCAGATTTCAAAGGAAAGAAAAAAGGGTAGAACTCTAGAGTGTATGCAAACAGTGTGAGTAGTCTAATGTTTCCAAATGCTGCAGAATCGGGCTATCAACAAGGTTCTTATGGAACTCAATCAGGGATACAATAAGTTCTACATTCTTATATGCCTCAGTTTGCCCAGACCACTCCTAACAATAGTCCTGCTGCTCCCTTCTTCACCAAAGAGCAGTATCAACAAATTCTTCAGATGCTGGCCAAAGGGAATGAAGAGGGTCCAGAATCATCCACCAAGTTAGCTATTGCAGGTACTCTAATTACTCTGATGTCCAATCATCTTAAGCATAACTGAATCATAGACACAGGAGCCTCAAATCATATGACTTCTCAACTTGATGCCCTTACCTCCTGTCAGTCCATTCCCAGTTCAGAGAAGTGCAAAGTTCAATTACCTATTGGGAATGTAGTATCTGTATCACATAAAGAGACATCCTCAGTACTTAGAAATAACAATATTTCTAATGTAATGTATATTCCAGACTTTAAATATAACATGCTCTCAGTGTCTCAATTCACCAAAGAACTTCAATGCATGGTTGCCTTCTTCCCTGACTTCTGCATTTTTCAGGATCTCTACAGTGGTCAGGTGAAGGGGATTGGTAAGGAGGAGTATGGTTTGTACATACTTCAAGGAGGATCATCCCAGGATTCTACAGCAACACCAGACAATAAGTGTGCTCATACAACCAGCTTACCTGATTCTGCAGTAGTATGGCATAGAAGATAGGCCATGTTCCTATTGATGTAATAAGGAAGTTAGATGCTCTTAGTACCCTAAAGATAGGAACCCAATACTGTCTTGTATGTCCAGTTGCTAAACAAACTAAACTACCTTTTCCTCTAAGTACTTCAGTATCTCAATCTGCATTTGGCTTAATGCATTGTGATATCTGATGGCCATATAGAGTTCCTTCTCATAGTGGTAAGAGGTATTTTGTTACAGTAGTTGATGACTATACCAGATACACTTAGATATTTTTGATCAATTTCAAGTCAGAAGTTATAGTTGTACTAAGAGATTTTCTAACTCAAATAAAGAACATGCTTTCAGCTTCCATAAAAGTCTTAAGGACTGATAATGGTAGTGAATTCTTTAGTAATGAGTTTAAACAGCTGCTCTCCAGTCTTGGTATATTTCATCAGAGTTCATGTGTCTACACCCCTCAACAAAATGGAATTGTTGAGATAAAACACAGAATAATCTTAGACATGGCCAAGTCTCTCAGGTTTCAGGCTACTGTTCCTCTAAGGTTTTTGGGTGAATGTGTTACCACTACAGTCTAACTCATCAACAGGCTACCCTCTAGAACACTTGGGCACAAATCCCCATTTGAGTTGCTTTACTTGCATCCTCATTCACTGCAACACTTAAAGGTCTTTGGTTGTCTGTGTTATGCAGCATGCCCCAGGATTGTTAACAAGTTCTCACCAAGAGCTATTCCTGCTGCCTTCCTGGGCTATTCTTCATCTCAAAAAGGTTATGTTCTGTATGACTTGAATTCTAAGTCTTTATTTGTTAACATAAATGTTGTTTTTCCGGAAGACATTTTTCCTTTCAAGCATGTGTTATGTTCTGGTAGCATTATTTTTCTTATACTGGATCTACTCTCATCAACTAGTGCAGATCCCAAGATCTCTGCTTCAGATTCATCTCCTGGAGTTGATATTCCTTTACATGAGACTAGTGCTACATCTGGGGGGGGGGGGGGGTCTTCTCATTCTCCTGCTGACTCTCCTGTGGCTACTCCTCACTATACTACAAATTCTGAAGGTAACTTCACAGATAATGCAGCACCTGGTGACACTTCTGCTGAGACTCAGTTTGATGATGCATCACCTAGTGCAGTGGATAACACACCTGGTGTTGTACCTGCTCAGGTCCGAAAATCTTCCAGTCCCAGCAAACCTCCCATATGGATGCAAGATTATGTGGTGCAGTCCAAAGATGCTAAGTGTTCTTATCCCATTTCAGCTTATGTAGATTACTCTCACATTACTCCTTCATACAGTAAGGTATTGGCAACTCATTCAACATGTTCTGAACCTCAGTTTTTTAGTGAGGCAGTCACTGATCCTCAATGGGTAGAGGCTATAAAGTTGGAGATTGCAGCCCTAGAGGAAAATAAAACCTGGAGCATAGTTGATCTACCTCCTGAAAAAACTCTTATAGGTTGCAGGTGGATATTCAAAATTAAG